GCAATTTTTTTCAACAACTAGTTTCTTAAAATAATATGAGAATGATGTGGCAGAAACAACAATGCCATGGTTACGGACACCCTAGAACTACACCACCACCATGCAGACACTGACCTGCCTTTATACCATTGGAACAAAATTATAAACTGAAAAGCTAGACAATCTGTTAAATACACATTTTTTGAAAATTCCTGACATAGAAAATTAAGTCATTAATAGTTGTTTCTATTTTGAAGCAGCAGTAGTTCATATATAGCTCATTGAATTCCTGCATTCTATAATATGATATTACTGGTACTCAATAGTGAAAATTCCTGCCAGCAGAGAAGAGGGACCATTCCATTAGAAAGAAATGACCTTGATATACATTCTGCTCTCAGCAGAAACAATGTGTAAGAGTTGAGGCTGAGGTCAAATGATATTTTTTTTTATAGTTTAAGTGAGTAAAAATAATTTGATACGGTTGGCACATTTTTGTTGATAGATAATACTAATTATAACACTTATGTTTATAATTAGGTGAAATTTATAAGTGTATGTGTTTGAACTTCACATAGCACCAATTTGTCAATTTGACAACAAATAACAGCTCAAAAAAATATACAATAAGATAAAAATAAACAGAATCAATGAACTTGAATTATGTATTGTACATAATATAATTCTCTCATGAGTAGCATGTTTTATTCATTGATTGCATGTACAATACTTTCAATAGGGTATCATCCAATGAAAGAAGGGGTTACATCTGCAGTAGTAAACAGAAATCAATACTCACTGTTGTACCTAAATGAAATGTTTATTTTTTTCCCAAATAAGCCACTTGTTTGTTGAATGCACACTGTTGGCCTTAACAAATTTGTTGGATATATTACAAACCATTGAAAAGGAGATGCGTGGTAAGGCAACTATAAAAAGTCATATTATTTATAAAGGTCATTTTTGTATTGGGAAAGTAGTTTCAAAATAGCTTCTGTGGTCGAGGAGGCATGCTTATGTCTACCAGTATCTACCAGCAATTGTAGTGGAATGTTTTACTCACCGCCAGCAGAAATTAACCATTCTTTTTAATGCTCATTTAGTTAAATAAACAAAAACATATATTTCAAATAGATCATACATGAAACTAAGTACTGCGATAAGTAATTCTGGAGATCCCGTAAACTCGCGCATCGCCACACACATGAACTTAAATATTTTGGGTTTGATTCTCACATGGTTTGACCTATTTGTATGTATTACCCCTCAGTAATGGATTTGAACTGAATTATAAAATAGCACATAATTTGATCATTGTTATTTAAACAGCTGCTAAATACTCATTTGAAAAGGACATTTATTTGCATAAATTACATAATTCAAGTTTTAAAAAAAATTGAAGCAGCACTTTGTCCTGTACAAACAAGTAATTTTTGTTTTGTATTTAATTACGGAGGTAATAGGATTTTCTGTTGCATAATCTATTATGGCGCCAGTCGTTACTTCACATACTTTATACGTGCAAATGTAAAAAAAAACCATTGTTTCACATAATATTTTTTTAAACTGTAGTGCCTTTACCCATTGCCGACTGAAAGACGAATAGCAGAAATGAATGGGAAAAACGACGTAAGCAGACAACACAAGTAATGTGAATTTCCAAACAAGGAACGATTATGTGGTACTTTCAAGATGGCACGAAAGTTTCCAAAAGGAAGTTCATCACAAGAAAGTCAGACTAATTTTCTATCTTTTGCCCATTCATACATTCACGGAGCATTTGGATCAAAAAGATTGTAATTTGATTTACTATGAGGATATAGCCACATGAGCTCTTAGATAATTTGCAGTTGCGTCAACCTTCACATGGTTATCTGGTGTGGTATCTACTACCGGTAGTATATAAATATGCTAACTTATACAACAGCGAATCTGCTATCAGGTCAACTTGAAGACACAATGCAGTGATGTTAATGGCACACAATGAGCATACTTGAGTATACTAGATAGACAAAATAAACAGGTCTAGGCAGGTGCGATGGTTTGAGAGGCACCACTAGAGATGGATATACAGTGATTCAATAAATGATTAATTGATTTTAATAATAAAAATGAATGAAATCAAATTAAAATTGTAATTAGTGCCAACACCACCAATATGCACAACCCACTCATTATTAATAATAATCTCAGACGATAAAGATGTTTACAAACATTACATACATTAGGTAAGCAACTAGTGCTGGAACAAATGTGATTTCTGTTATTAATATTATCACAATCTTCATCATTTGCATATTGCCTCATAATTTGTGAAGCAAGCAAAATTGATGTAATAATCAAGTCCAGGCTTTTGTGATGCAGCAATGAAAGGCAATCAGATCCTTATTCAGACAGGATAAGACTTGTACTAAATCAAACAATTTTAGAATCAGTGTACATACATACCTTTATCACCAGTTCCAGCTTGTCAAATGCCCCGTGTCCACAAATCTGTATATTTCATCACTATACATATGGTTTCTGCTGGTTTCTGTACCTGTCATACACTATGCGCCACTAGCTATCCTTCGTATTGCCCGCAGGCACGCGATAAATGATGCAACTAGCCACAAACAGGTGTATGACAGGAAACGGCAGAAACCCCAACTATTCTCCAACACATTATCAATGTAGATCTCATCATTTGGGTAACTTTGCACGGAATTAAATTAGGACCACAAATCTAGGAACAATCTTCATCAAATCGTATCAAGACCTCACTGGCTCCTTATATTTTCAACATGTGCACATCTCTCGAAGACATTATTTTTTCATATCCATAGGGTTACACTGTCCAGTTTTTCATAAATCTTGATTATAACGCTTTGATTCGCACCTTGATGAACTATAAACAGCCTCCATCAATTCAAAACATATGCAGTAAGAAGAGAGATTCCCATAATCAACATTATCAAGCCTTAACAGCCAAATTGTGTACATCCCTCTCTGGAGAACAATCATTTTCAAGGTTCTCAATACATAATATCACCTTGCTCTGCGTCATTTTGACATTCAATATCATCAACAATTTTTTCCAGACAGCCATGTGGGGTATATTTGGAAACAAAACAAATTTTGATTGGGTGCAGTCAACATTTTCCCTGCAGCTGCCAGTCAATGGATTACCGGTGTAGGTTAAAATTATTTGGTGATTTTAGTTGCTCATTAAAAAGGTATCTTTGTGATATTAGATCAAAGAATCTTTTTTCACATACCTGAAATTACGCTCAAACTTTTTACAATTAATTATAATCATGAATCAGGCAACGCATTTATTTTGCTTAGTTTAAAGTTTTAAAGTCTATTTTACATAATAAATTACTGCCTTTCTGGCATCTGAATTGAGCTGTGCTGTGCTGAACAAAATAACTTTGTTATACACTAAAATTGACTGAATGTATCCTTGCCATGGCACAGAGGTGTGAAAATTACCCCAGTATATCCCTCTACTTTTCAAGCAGTCTGACACCTCATTAAAAATGACAGGAGAGCAAAAGCACTTGAACAGTAACAGACCATGTACAAAAGATTATACGAGGATTTAACTAGCCCAAATTGAGCAGCTATCTTGGGTATTCTCATATCCATGCATATTAATTATTTATGTAAGTAGTACAGCGAGTGCAGTTTCCTCCACACAGGCCTATGCAAGGTAGTTATGTCATGCCACAAATGTCAGTTGTTTTTTGAGAATATTTTCAAAAAATTCACATTTCTAAGAAATGGTTTATGAAATCCAACTCTGTCCTTTATCAATTATTGATAATTTGAGAGATTCAGTGTTGTTTCAGTATGAAATTAATCTTTTCATTTATCTGCATAATGCCTTTGCTATAAAAACATCTAACCTCTGGGGAGAAAAAAAAAATGACAAAACAAATCATACATACAGAATATGTAATCTTGCAATATTTGTGGATTTCTATATAAAAAAAAATCAAAATAGAATGGAATATTTTGGAAAGCTCTATTGGTATTTGGACGCTACAATGGTTAAAACAATAATTGGAAGGGTTTGTGTGATAACCAGCAAAAACATGATACTCCTGATAATAATAAATTACACTGGGAAAAAAAAAAGGAATTCTGAAACAGTGAAATCCACAGTAATGAAATCTAATTTTCCCACCGGATCCTGGTCCTGCAAAGCAATGGATGGGAGGCCCACTAAGTGATTTCCGCATGAAACTGGGGGATCACAATGAATGGAATGGGACTTATTTAAAATGGCTGCTTCTATAAACCCTTGTAAATAAACATTCTTCCACTAATTTTAAAGCAAACATTATACACCTTTCCACAATAAAACAACACTCAAATGAAACACTACTATATATATATGTTCTCCCTCCATTTGAAAATGTTAAGGCAGTAGATGGAATGGCCACTTCAAATGAAATTGTCAGAAATAAGAGGGGGGGGGGGTGCTTGAGTATTAAAGACGTGTTCCCTGGAATTAAAACCCTTATTGGCAGTCTTTTTAAACAATGTATATCCATACACATGCACAGAAAATAGTGCATTGTGTACACAGTGACACAAAAAAAAATCAATGCAAAAAAAACAGTAGACCAGCCATATGTAGTGAAAAGAACGGAAAGTTGATTTAGAACAGACAACCCATTACTTTGAGTGGGTTAGTAACGATGTAAATATGAATTCATTTCAGAGCTAGGCTCCAAATTTATCCTACTCGCAGTCTTTCTCTTCCTCTTGTCTATTTACAATGTACATACTAAAATTAATTAAAACTTTTAACAGCAAAAATTATTTAAAAGACTGTCATCCGAATTACTGTTAATTTTTGTTATTTAAAAAAAAAAAGGCAAAATGTGTTTAAATTGTTTCACTCCATTATACATAGTGAATGCATAAATTATGACTTTATCATGGTTCCATTGTTTTGCCATGCATGATGTCTGATTTTTTTTTTTATCTATCATACTTTATCGAATACTGACATTATCTATTTTTCCTAGTCACACATCCGTTTCTATGCTTACTGCATTTATGTTTAAATTGATGGAGTTGCGCTGCACGCTGTTCATTTTAGTGCGATCATTGAGGTTTTGCCGGCCACTACTTGGCTGACTTTGAGGAGTTTGCTGTGAGACTGACCCACTCATGCCTTCCTCCATTTCTACGTAATCCATGGAAAGGTTTTCCTGGCTAGCACCATCTTTCGTTTTCACAGCAGTAGGACTTAGCAGGTATGGACAACTTGACACATGCGAGTACTGTGTTTGATCTTCATTATCTTGTTCACGGTGATAGAAGTAATTAAAATTAGATACAATCACAGGTACAGGGAGTGCAATTGTGAGTACACCTGCAATTGCACACATTGAGCCAACGATTTTACCACCGGGTGTGATTGGCTTCATATCACCATAGCCAACAGTAGTCATAGTAACAACAGCCCACCAAAACGCATCTGGAATACTATGAAAATGGGTGTTTGGTGAATCTGCTTCAGCGAAGTAGACTGCACTGGAGAAGAGAATCACACCAACAAACAGAAAGAATACAAGCAGGGCGAGTTCTCGCATACTAGCCCGCAGAGTTCGTCCTAAGATTTGTAGTCCCTTTGAATGTCTTGATAGTTTGAAAATTCTAAATACGCGTACCAAGCGGATAACACGAAGGATGGCTAGTGACATAGCTTTACTATCTTCTTTTTCTGTTGTCGCTTGAACTAATGTAGTACTTAGAGTGATGAAATATGGAATAATTGACACTATATCAATAATGTTCATTATGTTTTTGTAGAACAACATCTTGACAGGACTTGAAAGTAATCTCACAAAAAATTCCAAAGTGAACCATACAATACAACAGGTCTCTATGATCCAGAATGGATCATGATAGAATGGTATTCGATGATATGATGTTCCATTTTTTGTATTGTTCACTTCAAGTGGGGGTTGTTGAAACTCTGGTATAGTTTCTAAACAGAATATTACAATGGATATCAATATAATTGTGACAGAACAAACGGCTATAACTCTCGCCCATGGTGAACTTTCTGGGTATTCAAATAGTAGCCATATACTACGTTGCAGTTGATTTTTGGGCAATAATCTTTCTTCTTCTTTTATAAAACCTTCGTCTGCTCTATATTTCTCTACTGCCTCATCCCCTAACTCGTAAAATTTGATTTCCTCGCTGAAAACATCTAAAGGTACGTTCACAGGTCGCCGAAGTCGCCCGCCACTCTGATAGAAATAAAGTATCGCATCAAAACTCGGTCGGTTGCGATCAAAGAAGTACTCGTTGCGAAGTGGGTCGAAGTAACGAATCCGCTTTTCGGGATTGCCAAGCAACGTATCGGGGAACTGGTTGAGGGTTCGGAGCTGCGTTTCAAACCGGAGACCGCTCACGTTGATGACAACTCTCTCACAGCACTGATCATGGCCTGACACCTGGTTATCGTATCCCTCATCGATACTGCTGTCGTCATGTACGAGCTTCGGCAGCGATCGCGAATTGGGTACATTCCCCGATGATCGTGGAATGGTGCGGTTGAAACTCAGGCCATTATTCCCCTCTAGCCCAGCCAACGCGACCTCCATCTTCAGTGGATGAGCTCTTGGTCTCCAGATGGGGGTGAGACCCCACTTCTCGACAAACTCTAATTTGGACACAATTTTGACAAGATAGCCAATATGGCGATGAACTACGAGTATCTGCCCGGTTTGCAAATAGTTTTCCCTGTCGACGTAAGACCAGGAATGAACATAGGTTCCACATTCCCTCGTCTTCGTGGCGTGGACTCACATTCTAGTTTTCCTGTAGTTTCAATCATATGTTGCAGAATTATCCCGGAATTCGGCCAATAACATTGATAGGTACAGTCTCCTGCATCATGGCGGACATGGCTACATTTAATAGTCGCAGTACCCGGATGAAACGGGAAAAGATGACATTGATGACGTCACAGCTCGTCCTTAAAAATCAAAATTACTGACATACTTTCATAAAACTCTTTAACTACAAACATAGCTAAAATGCTTACAGGCTACAGAAAATCACCATATATTACAATCTGAATTAAATCATATTTTTTACTTTCTTGATACAGAGTACTTTGCAAAAATGTAACAGTGAAATAGTATTAATTAAACGCGCATATAATTTCAAGGGGAAATACGTATTCCAGTTCTATTGTTCTTTTAAAAATGGCGCTATTATCCTTAGCATCGCAGAATTACACATAGGTGGTCAAAGTTTACCCAGTTCTGCTGATAATGCGGACCCAGTCACCTTTCGCCCGCGTACTGTTGCGGCATTCAAAGAAACACAGTTCAACTCACCATAAACGTAATTTTCTTATGGTAATAAGTTCTCCCCTGAAAGTTCTCCCCTGAAAGAATCAAAGTGGTATTTTGTATGATTGGTTCAGGTGGCCGCATAGTTTACCTATTCTCTTTATTTGGTGATATATTAACTAGACCGGCGAAAACTTGTTTTTTTTAGGACCATGAGTATTTCCCGTATGCTTCAGTTATTTTACCCGTCAAGCCACTCACAGAAAAGGTGTGAAAAGCTGTGGCGCTTTGCATTGTGGGAAGTCAGTAATGGTACAAGGTAATAAAGCGTATGGTTCTATTTGTCATCTCGAAGCTTCCACATTTTGTAGAGCGTTGTTCTGAAACTATGCGTTAGTTTCTTTACTGGCGTCCCGTGTCGACCCTTTAACTAACCAACAAGAATATCTGAGTCACCAATTTTTATCGTCGTGAAGAAAAAAGCTCCAAAATGACGCAGTTTTTACCTCCAAATTTGTTGGCTTTGTTTGCGCCGCGTGATCCCATGCAGTACATGCCGCCTATGGACAAACTTCCTCACGAAAAAACTGGACCAGGATACATGGGCGTTGGAGTTTTTCTTGACCAATTTGAGGTAAGAATAAAATTTGCTGTTTATAAGGTTAATAGAGGCTGTAATTTTTTTAGAATACTCCTAAAATCTGCGTCCGAGGAGGTCGAAATAGAAACACGCTGCTGGTCTGTCTGTGTGTCCTTTTTGTGTGAGTGTATTTTAGCGGCCTGTATGGTGGCGTTGTTTCGTGAACTACACACGTTGTCAAACTTTTCGTCTGTGCGAGACGAAACATATTTATAAACTCAAGTATGGTGGTATGAATGATTACTGGGAGTGGAAGATGGCATGACGCAGCACTGGATTATGACCTGAAAGAGTACTATAAATTTTTCACGATAGAACAGTTCGGCTGAATGTAAAGCTGTCCTGAAAAAAAGAACTGTGATCACAGGGAGCCCAGGAACTATAATCAACTGTAATACGCAGTCTCTATGAGCGGGGGGGGGGGGGTATCGGCTGGTATCTAGTGTAAGAAATAGACAAGGGATGAAGGCTCCAGCCAGCTCACATTTTTTAAACTCGAAAAAACGGACGATAAGAATGAAAAATAGAATCTAAAAAAAATACCAGGGTGAAGAATATTAGTTGCTCCTTCAAATTTCGCCAAAGCATTACCCAGGGTTCTCCCCAGGGCTTTTTAGCGCCGAGGTCCGCGGCGCTATACCTGTGAATCTCGGCGCTTCACTTGGGACCTCGGCGCTATGTGTTCCCACCTCGGCGCTTGATTTCATATTTGACATGCCAATATCAAGATGTGAAAAAGCTTTGTTCGCCACGCCAGTCACTCAAAATTAGTGACCACCGCGGAAATGCTTCCGACGAGGACTATTGTCTGATTGTTGGTATAATTACGTACCGACCGACACGCATCCTGCCAGTCGTGGATTATAATTTATAAACAATAGACCTAGTCGCACGATACGTAGCGGCTAGTCAAATTTGTGGAATTAGCACCTCTTTGTTTGTAAGTAAATACTTTCCTGCGATAGACACAGTCTTTAGATTTAAAGCTAAAATTATTTCAAAATCAATTCCACCTCGATATAACATGGTCAAATCGGAGTTTACGATCAGTTCACGCTACTCAAGAAAAAAACAACGTGTTTATTGCGTGATTTGGTAAAATACATTTGAACTGTTATCATTGCGAATCATGTAAAAACTATTCTTTCAAGACCTAATTTACCTTTTAAAAATTGCAAATCACCTCTTTCGAAAGCCGTCATGCAGTTTTCAATTGAAATCGATGCCAACACATCGTGCTACGACATCGCTTTACTTCCGCAATGTAATTTTTATGCTCACTACCATTCGGAAAACTTCGGGTTCTACCGGCATTACCATGCGGCATTTTGATTGGTTAATGGAATTCTTGACCCATCGGGTCAAAGGACACATGCTAATGTATTTGCGTTTGTTTTTAGTCTGCAGCATTTGTATTTCGAGAATGTTTCAAACTCTTCTAAATTGTGAAACATAATGTGCTGATTCCATTAAAAAAAATATTTGCCTTGTGACTGAGCTCACTAATATTCATAATTGTAAATAAGTTCTGTTAATCAATGAAGGAAATATATGTAAATGATATGCAAATTATTATGCAAATTAGCCCCGGCGCTATGCATTTTTTCTGGGGAGAACCCTGGGTTGTAGGTCCATGACAGTATGCCCTTTAGTCGTTTTGTCAAGTCACAAACGCACAGCGATTTTTCTTGATTATTTAATTTCTCTGGCATGTCATTAATGTATCAAAAAATTGTACATTGATATAGTGATCTTGAAAAACATCTTATTATAGTTACAAATTGGCCATAACATTTGAATTTTGTAACTTCAGAAGTTGCTTTCAGTCACATTCTATTGTTATTTATCCTTGAAGGCCTAGGCCAGGTTATGTGTTACGATGTAAGTGATTGGTAAACACCCAGTTAATGGTCTGTGAATGTTGTTGATTTCAGTGACGCAGCATCGCTGTCATTTTCTAACAAAGTACAGAGTGTTGTTGATTTCTAACATATAGTACAGACTACTCGAGTCGTACATTGTATCACGGTAAAAAATAAAATGCTGAACGATACACAGGCGGTCAGGGTTGTTGATTTCAATGACGCAGCAGCACTGTGTCATTTTCTAACAAAAAAAAGAATTGTAAAAATTTGTTGCTTCATATAAAATGGCTACAAATTGAAACATTAGTAGAAACATAATGGCAAATCTGTCTACACCAATGGAAAAAGTACAAATACATTTCTGCAAATACCTTTTAAAAGTAAATAGCAAAGCAAGTAATTTGGCAAGCCTACTAGAGTTGGGAAGATATCCTCTCCTAGCAACAAGCTTAAAATATATGATCAAATATTGGATCAAAATAAATAATTCTAACCCAAATTCGCTAGTGCATGAAGCTTACAATCTTGGAATACATCTTGATAAAAAAGGAAAAGACAACTGGGTAACAGACATAAAACAAATTTGAGAAAATTTAAATATGGGAAATATTTCGGAAAAATATAAATCTCTTGATGAAAAACAAATCACTGAAACAGTAACGCGCAAACTAGAACAATCCTTTGAAATACATAGCACAGAAACATTACACGATGACAACAAAGGTAAAAACCATAAAAACAAGTTACGAACTTACATGTATAGGAAAATTAAAACAGAATTTGCATATGAAAAATATCTCACTACAATCAAAAATTCAAATCATAGAGCTGCTATGACAAAACTCAGAATAAGTGCTCATACCCTTCAAATCGAAAGAGGCAGATATAATAACATTCTAGCGGAGGACCGAATTTGCCTAGTTTGTGACAATTTAAACAGGAAATTGAAAATGAAAAACATTTTCTTCTCAATTGTAATCTATACAAGAAGGAACGAGAAATCATGATCAAGAATATTAAATACATTAAAAACAACTTGGGGACGGATGACGAACAACTTACAGATATAGTAAAAAGTAAAAATGACAAAACAATCATTGAGCTAGGAGAATTCATCCACACTTGTTTCAAATTACGACAAGAAAAAATCCTAAAATGCCAGATGCCACAACCCAAATAATTTAATTTTTTTTTTTTCGCCTCTTTTCTTTATTCAATTGTCTGTGAATGTCTTGTATTTTTTTTGCTATATATTTGTATTACTTTATTGTATTTTCAACTAAGATCCCACTTCGGGATACGGTTTCAATAAAGATTATTATTATTATTAGTTTTGTTGTTTTCACGTAGCAGTCGCCAATGCAATGTCAGTGTTTCCGATGTAGTGTTCATGTTTTTTTGTAAACTTGCGTCACTGAAATGGACAAGAGTCATGTGAATTATTAAAAACAACAACATGTCGAAGAGCGCGTAGCGTTGCTGGGCGCGCTGCATGTCAGATAGTTTATTTTTTGTGAACTTGTGTCACTGGAATCGACAACAAAACAGCCACGGGAGTTAACCAACAACATATCAGTGAAGAAGTAGCATCACCATTGACCACTTCACACTACAGCGATTACATCTGGCTGAGTTTGACTGTATTCTTCCTCAGCACCAAACAATCTGACCCAACTTTATTCAGGGAGATTTCATTAAACCCTACAAAATCCGTCCTGTTAGAGACCATACTGGTACATGTATGACCATTACTATTATTATGTCCAAGTGCATAAGTGAGTGGGGTTTCGTACAAGAACATACTGGATTGTCTCGCATGACACACATTGTTAACCAGACTGCAAGTATCTTCCAGAATGAACGAGTACCAGGAATCAATATTTTTTGACAATCTGCATTTATCTGAATTTTCCCGCGAAAATTGAAGCAAATGACAATACACACCTAGCTAGTCATCTTAACGTTGAAGTATACTACAAATACGCATCCTATAAACATTCTTCACGTAAGGCCAAATATTCATTTAAACGAATTGAGGTCGGCAATATGTTACAAATATCTCGCCCCACATGCAACATGGAAGCCGCCATGTTGGATATCATCATTGTGCAATACCGTACGATCAACAAGACAAAACCACTTGTTTAAATAATTACAGAAACCAACTTTGTAACGATGGTGTTATATTAAGTACCACCCCTTACCTGGTCATTTTCATTCACGTCGATGAAAGCGAGAATACTCATATTTGCTCCGTCAAAAAAATTAACACGGACACCAAATCTCGGTAAATGTCAGCCGCAGGAGGGCGCACTTTTCGTTACTGCAAAAACACTTGAGGGCGCACTGACACTCATCAGTTTCAACATTCTTGTATGCGTGTAAAAGTAAAAAAGACAGATTATCATTCTAATTATCAATCTTTTATTAATCACAAATCATCTTTCTGAATACGACAAGATAATGTAATCAACGTGAATTACAATAGCACTACTGTAGCTAGTAGCACGTGCAAATTACAGAGCAGTTTCTAAGGTCAAAGTAAGTCGCATTTTAATGATTCAGTAAACGGTATACCTGCAATTTATTGTTGATATGCACTTATATTAGATATAAGCTTCTAATAGAGCAAATGCAATATATATTTATAACAAACTGTACATAATATATACTGGATAATTACTGTGACTGTACTTTACAACATTTGAGTCTTTTTTTTATGCAATAGCTACATGTTAGGGTGTATATAATCTAACTTGTTTAAGATAATAATACACGTTTCCAATAAATTGACACATCAGTGGGAATGAGAGAGCAGATAACCTTCACAGCACTAGTTTTGTTTTGCTGTCATTTATTAATTAAAACAGGAGGGTCGTCACCTGCGCACGCGTGGGAATTGAGTCCCAAACTATGATAACACACAGTAAAAATGCAAAGGCTCATGGGTAGATGCTTGTTTGTAAACAATGACACGCTATGGCCATTTGACGCATGCACAGGTGACGACTCCCCCACTTTAATTAAATATTTTCTATTGATTACAATACAGCACCACTGTGAATACCATTACTCTATTAAAAATATCTACATCAAAGAATTAGGCGATTTGTGCACAACTTTTTTTAAGTAAGTATATTATACTTTTGTGCATGAATTACTAGAATAAAACATATTAGCAGATGTCTAGTATACCTATTTACAACAAACCAACAACAAAGCAAGCATATAGACACCACAAAAAAAAAATAGTGAAGTAATCCTAGATTGTAATTTATGAACACTGTCATTGTTATATCATGGAGTACATCCATGGTTATATACACCCATCACTCTCAGAAACCCAAACTGATCAGTACGTTCTCATATTGAAATTTATATTCAAACAGTTTTCACAAAAATTAAATTAGAAAGAGATGTCCTGCATCACTTGACAATATTTGTAGTTCAGTTTTTGCAAGGTTACTTGTAAATTATCTGTTTATGGATGGATATAGTAGCTCATATAAGTAGAACATAGATACAGGGTAAATTATGCACTATTTCCAGCATGAATGAGTATACATTACTGCTTTTAAAATTATTTTGTACTGTAATAATCACAGGGATTGTGTTAACCCCATATTTTGCTTCCCGGACTCCAATTGTTGAAGATGGACCCAGTTTTTCAGGCATGCTGGGGTCCAATCTCTAATGAATTTATCCAGGGTCAAATTTCAATTTCTTAAAATTTTGTAAGTGGGACTCGTCTTGCCGAACCACAAGCGCAAACCCTGAATCACAGTAAAAAGAAAAACACTGAATATTTCTGATATATTTCTAATAACTAACTCTGTGTAATAAATAATTTGTCTAAATATGAATAAAAAAATATTAAAAATTCACAATATACAGGGAACAAAAATGTACTAAAGAATCATGTCTTGTATTACCTATCATATTATTTACTCTAACTCAAGATTACTGTAACCCTTTGAGCAATATATTTTTTCTCAGTAAAATTTTGTTGCTACATTTCACTTGTTTTTATATAATCTACTACATTGTTTTTTAATAATTATGTACCGACTGGACATCATTTTTTATTAACTACAAGTATTAATCACAGATTTGGGGAAAATTTAGAAAAAAACTAACATGGGTTTACAATTTTTAAATAGTGACAAAAGTAGATTTTGACACCCAAAGGGTATTCAGCTATCCACTATCTATCACTATTCTCGGGGGGCGGACATCCGGGCATTTTCACCGCCTGGCAACCTGCGGTGGTGAAAACAAAGGCCCAAAACTCGCAGAAAACAGTACTTTGGGATGATTGTTGAGACTCCCCTAAACAGTGTTACAAGATTAGCCCTACGTGTGTAACATGTATAAATTTGGTTGTTCGAGATTACTTCAAAGTTGAGTTTGTGTTGTTTTCTCGAATTTTCACCGGCTCGACCGGCGTACCACAGCAGCGCGCACAGAGCCCATAGAAATGCATGGTACAGTGGTGCGCGTCTTAGCAACGTGGAACGTCTGTGACGTAGCTCCGCCCCCGAGGATACAGATGATATGCTGCTTCAGACATTGGAACCAAACTTACAAAAATGTAATGTACTGTATTTCACAGTATTCTATAACATGAAAGAAACATGGTAGCATCCCAACAAAGTATATTTATGAGAATATCAGATACCGCTAGCTAATACATGTTGATAAAGCCATTCACAATATTTGAAATATTACGGCCCTTGGTGGTACACCATTCGTGCATTAAATTCAAACTGTCAGAGGTAAGACTGATAAACTTGAGACATCTTTTTTGTTTTATCAGAAAAATTAGGTTATTCTCCATCATTTTAGTGCAACTACAAAATCTAGCTTTCAGCAAAGTCACCAGTAAAGACATTTTCTTGCTTTCAGAGTCAAACAAGATATTATAGTTATGTAAAATGATGACTTATAACTAAAATAATATATGCACAATCTAAATATAAACACATAAAATAATTTTGGACGTGAACTCTGAATACAAATAAATAATAATTCCCTAATTGATAACAAAAACTAATGAAAATTCATAAATTGTATGATAGTGCTTCCATTGACTGTTCCTTATTTTGTTCCAACAGTGAATTGAAGTGACTGTGTACAACCAGTCAATTACTCAAGCAAGATGGTCAGTGGCGATGGTTTTTAAGACCGATAAAGTCCTTGTACTTTATCCAATACATTATTCACAAATGTGACAAAAGAATATTCAAGAATTGTAAATGTTGTATTTTGTTAAATACTGATAATACTGCCACTTTTTTTTATTCAACTTATATGAATGATCTCAGCGCATGTTTTACTTGCGAGAAGAAACACTAACATGCCACACAAAATTTTCCAAATAAATTCTAGTGTTGTTACTGTATTTTATACACTGATGTGTACTTTAATAGAAAGGTGAAAGAAACTATACATTATGTGTAAATGTGCAAATAATTTATAAATAAAATTGGATAAAAATCTTTAAGTAGCAATATCAGATAAAAACAAATTTACTATTAAATATTAAAATATATTTCTTTCTAAAATTAGAAAGGCAAGGATACAATGACACATCATTATAATAATTAAGTACAATGTGTAAAAAGGAGGAATTATGAGGAATGAGTTTTTAATACTAAAAACAGACTGAATGTGCTTTTCATTAAAAATATTTACAATTCTTACAAAATAGATTTGATAAAAATGAGTACCTGTGAATTTGCATATTTAAGTATCAAACACTGTTTTCTCCTTTGACGTGGCCAACAAGCTGTAAGAGTGGAGGGACTGGTTTAATTTAATATTCCAAGTAGCACAGCATGGAAATTCAGCCACAGATTTTTGCATAGCACCAATTCTGGCAGCCAAGCCTCTGTTAATCTTAAAATGACAGTTGTCACATGAAGTAATGTTTAAGACGAATCTCAAGCGACATATAAAAAAATACATTGTTTACACAAAATATAAACACATCCTGAGTGACAACTACAATGCTTTAAAACATTATATTAATAATTCGCTATGTAAGTAATGAAAGAAATTAAAAATACACTTAAACTTGTGTTAGTGACCGCCTACCTATAGTACCGGGTAACCACTTTTTAGGCAGTCCAAAACTTATTAATTTGTCTTCCACAGTATTTTCAAGATTCTTTTTTTGGTTAGAGACCAAAATAAATAATAATTAGCAATCTGTTTATATACTTTTTAATTTCCTCCAAACTTATTTGATTTTCAATCAACTCAAATAAATTTGTTTTTGTTGCAACAGTAGTATTTCATTACTTTTTCAACAAATATTACATCAAATGTACGAGTATGCAATGCATAAAAAAATAATCCAATATCCACATACTAGTAAAGACCATTTGTCTATAAATATAAAGACCATTTTAATTAAGTCCCTTTGGTGGGCGCTAAATACAGGTTTGACTGTATATCCAGATAACAAGGACCAGGTAAGAGAATAAATAAATTAAAAGCCTTGTTACAGTCTTCATGCATGTTTGTGCCAATTACATTCATGTCGTATGTTCAGAGCATTTGTTGTGAGAGAAGTCATGAGAAGTGTTACAAAAGTTTACCAGTCATGGTTTCCTTATCTACTTGGAAACAGTTCAATGTTGACTGCGATGAGGGTATCAGAAGGTCAATTTGAAAATCCGATATTCACTACACTTGCTGTATTTGTCTATAACGTTGATCGTTTACATCACTTGGTACCTTCCAATTGAGTTCAAAGAGTCTAAAGGCACGAAGAGGAATTGCAACAACTAGCATTATATCCCGGAGAATTTCAATAAATGGATAGAGAATACGCTTGAATCCCACACCAACATTGTACGAGAACACCACGATCGGTTGAACAACGTGATTGTACAGTGCAGAGAGCATAGGCCGCAGACAATGGTCTCCAATCACGATGAAGAACTCTTTTAAGAAAAACTGAACTAAGTTTTGAAAGACAAATCTTGAAGATTCAAGGACGAGAAGTAATAAAGCTTCCACTATGATGCGTAAAGCATGGAAGAATTCTTGTAAGCCTCTTTTTATTATAGCTGCAGATCTGTGCAAAAAAAAAGAGAAAAATTGAAATTATTGAAATTATTTTAAAAGTTATTTTGTGAGGTTTAAAAATAAACAGGGTATTATTCAGAGCAATAAACCACCATCCAGTCTGGCATGCATCAAGACATTGCACAGAATCAGTCATCAGCTTTTATGCTACCATATTTTTGAATATTTTTCAGTAATTTCTTCGTGAATTTTGGATCATATACACATACTTTCCCTTGGCTACAGGTCTTGATGAAAATATATGAAATTAGAAAATTATGCAAACAAATTATTTTTAGTGAAAGGTGACAAGTCTGATTTTTACAGCAAGTCTCACCGTTTAGTCAAAACCAAAGCAGTTAGCCAATTCGCAAGTGAGTTTGCAAATTGGCTGCCCCAATACTTCTGAGACTTGCTGTAATGCTCAAAAGTTTAATGCATTATTGCGTGGATTACTTTAGTCGAAAACAGCAATTTGAATCATTTATTTTTACTGATTTGTTATAATTTACATGAAAACCAGTGGGAAAATAGTATTTTCATTGCCTTTTATTTTCACTTCTGATATAGCCGGTCTATGCCAATTTTTTCTCATCACACACGAGAAGTCAAACCCAAAGAAAAGTCCACACCCAATATATTAAACCACTATAATATACATCATAATTTCAATGTTGAATAATAAAGAAATGATTTGAGTAGACAGCATGGTGTTTCCTACCAGATTAGATGAGGCAAGGAATTCAATAGATTGGTGGGTTCATAGTAGACATGCACAGGGTACACCATGTGACGCACACATTACTTACTTGTCAGCAATCCCTGCCATGTATGCATCACTCTGTGCTCCTCTACCATCATAGTATCTTCTACTACCATGCTCATAATAATAAATATACCTGGCAAAATACAAAGTAACGTTTAGGATTAATAATAAATATAATAGAAATTAATGACAATATTTTACGTATCATTTAATACACTGTCATTTATATACACAGCAAAGAAAAGAGAGAAAATACAGTATTTATAGTTTTCAAAGAAAAACTTTTACAATTTGTAATTTACACTACTAGATTCAGCATGACTTCAACCGTGCAGAACGACACTTACCCAACATTTTCAGAGTAAGCAAAACTAGCTCTATCTTTACCATCATCATCGCTAGGACCAAAATTGTCATTGTATGCTGGATTTTGTAAACCACTACTTTCAAGGTTTATCTGGGATGAGGAAACTAACTGTTGCTGTGACATGCTTCTCTGATGTTTGTCTCGTGTTCTTTTAGGATTTTGTGCGTACTGTGCAGACTGCTCACTGGATTGCACCTCTCTACGGACTGGCAGAGTCTTTGAATTATTGTTGTTCTCTGCAAAAAAATGTTTTTGTTTTTTCAACTGACTACATATATTAATAATACTTCAACAAACAGACATACATAAAGGCAAATTACATGTACCAGTACAAAGAAGTAAAATGGAAGCTGTCACTATATACATGTATATGTACGCTGACTTTGAAAAACACAGCAAATATGGACCTTCCTTCAAAAGATCACCAAGGTGGCCTAATTTGGTTAATACCTAATTGACATATATGCTGCAAAATGAAATATCTGTACACATTTTAAAACATCCTTATTTTCCAAATGCACCAAAACACACAGGGATTTTGGTGTGATGACTATCAGTGTGAACATTTTCTGTGTTCCACTTCCTCATAGCAAAATGAAATTGTTCACTACCTCTACTCGGTGGAGTGTTTACATCACTTCTGGTGGGACTGTTTTTAACTAAATCCGCTCTCAGCGAAGCTAATGTCCTTTCTTCAGCATCAGAATCAGCCCAGGAAAACTCATCTAGTAGGATTAAACATGAGAAAACACTAATTAATTATTTACAAATCTGACAATTATATAAAGAGGTGAATTAACCGGGATTGGAGATTTAATTTGGACATACTGCTAGCCTTTGTTATACGGTACATAAATTGCTTTAGCTTCACAAGTCAGTATAATTGAGAATTAATGAAAACTTAGCTGGGATCCTTTACATATACCGTCAAAGTAGAACAAACAAAAATACACACTGTTACATGTACTCCTTACGGTTTCTATTGATGACAATGTTCATTAAAAGTTTCGCTGTACATAATGGCTTCTTCAGGAACTAAAAGCATAAGACTTCTTCAGGAACTGAAAGTATACCGGTAATTATACTTTCAGTTCCTAAAAAGCCTTTTATGTATTAGGCAAAATGTTAACTTTAATATTTTCATTAATAGAAACTATAAGAAGTAGCACCGGTAGTGTTTACTTTTGTTTTAGGCGAGGGTTCTCCGAACCCGCCTATTCACATAGTTCATACCCACCATAGACTCCAGTCAGTAAAAATGACTGTTTTGAACTGTAGGCATTAATCAGCGATTCTGCCAGTGACGGAGAGATAGAATCTAGGTCAGGGGAAGCTCCATGACCTCAAAATTATTTTACCCCTTACGTCACGAACCCATGTGACCGAGGCCACATGGCAGAGCCATAGTAGCCGTCAATCACTCT